ACTGCGACGAGGCAGTCAAGTTTCACTGTGAGTGGGTGATATTTGCGTGTGACTACGCACACATAGAGCTGTGGGGATCCGAATGTCAAGTGCAATACGAGAAGAAGAGAGACACCTCGTCGCAGTTGTTGTGTGTGCCGTGCAATTTGCACGGTTTGCCTAGGGAGATCTAATTTGCCCTCGTTGTTTGTGTATAGGTGGGGGTGCCGCGTGCCGTGTGTGTCGGTGGCCCTCTCTCTCTCTTGTTTTCGTTGCAGCTGCGTGGGGTCGTGCCTCTGCCTGTTTTTTTATTAATAATTTCATTCTCCCTTTTGACTGCTGGTTGAGTATTGTGCAGCAGTTCAACTCAAGTTAACCACCACGAAGGAAAACATGTCTGAGAGACGCGAGGAAGAATTTCACGCCACCGAGGAGCCTCCGCGCAGCGCCGAAGGGTGGAGGGAGCGCCGCAGCGGCCAAGGCGGACGCTTGCAAGCTCTATCGAGGATGTCCGTAATGTGCGGGTTGGCCAAATCAATATAATTTTGCTGAACGACTTCCTTCGGCAGTACATTGGCCCCAACAGAGCGGTGGGTGAAGGCCAAAATGTGTTGATGGAGGTGTTTGTGCGTGGGCCAGACAGGTACGTTACAGAGCAGAGGCGTCGTGAGGGGAAATCCTCACTTCCACCAGGGTATCAGCTTTTTGAAGATGCACGCAAGCTTACGCAGCGCATGGTGGGCACGCTGCGAGACTGGAAGGAGTTTACAGATAATGAGTATTGTCTCTGCTATTACACGAACAAAACTGAAGGCAGCTCTTCAACTGGCGTAGGAGGAAGGGGCAACACGGGAAACCGAAATACACCCCAGATGACCATCACCGGAGGCATTCTACGAGTCCGTGTTTAACGCAACGTGGAGTCACGTCATGGGATTTCCTGAGGACGAAGATGAATACATGGTGGTGATAGAGGGCCAACGGCCACAAGAGTTATTATGGGAATACACGCAGACTGTGCGTACTTTTTTCTCAGTGGGTGGTGATGAGCAATTCCGTCCACCACGCCCACGACTCATGATCCTTTCCTCTGAAAAGCGATGACCGTACTCGCTGAATCATTCAGTACCTATTGCCGACTGCTGCATTAACATTGAGGTGCATCGGGTGTGGAAGATCGTCGAGGGTGATCTAAAAGGAGTGTTTCCCCCTCCACACAGACGAACCTAAAATGAGACGCCGTCTTTTGGTTGGAACCCCCGGGATAGGGAAGTCAATGGCGGCTGGCTCCTACCTCCTTTATCAGCTGCTGCACTACGACGCCACGAAGCTCCATGTGGTTGTGTTCTGCTTTGGAAGGGATTTCGCATACTTGTTTGACAAGAGGACACAAACGGTGACAATATACGAGGGTGAGAGTAATATTGGCGATGTTATGGTAAATAAGGCCAGAAGTGGAATGAAGGGGTGCATCATCATCGATATGGCAATACATTTTCGAGAACCATCGAATGATGTTGTGCCCTCCCCTGAGTGGGGCATCATTATGTTGTCATCCCCGAACGAAGATAACTTCAAACAATGGGCGAAGCAGGCGGGTGCTATCAAAATTATCATGAATTGCCCCGATGAAAACGACGTGAAGGCGATGTGTGCGTGGAGGACGTGCAATACGACTGAAGAGGAGCAGGTGGAGTATTGGAGAAGGATGTACATGCGCATGGATGACGTCGGACCGATTCCACGATGCATCTTTCAATTCAATGAGTATAAGGACCGTGTGGAGGAAATCAGGGACATCCTGGCAGGTGTCGACGCTTCAAATGCTGTACATTATGGGATGATGGGAGGCATGGGAATGTGGCCCTCGAATGACGCTTCCCACAAACTTGTGAAAGTTGTCAGAGCAATAAGACAACGCGGTCTTGAGGCGTTTGTGAACCTGCCGGTTTGTTTTCTTTTGTTTTTCTTTTTTGGAAATAAATTAATTGCAAGGCTGCTCGAAGTGAGTGAGGAGAATGACATTATTTATCGACTATTGAAGTACCGGAGAGTGTTATTGCCGGAACTTTTGGGGCGGTGCACTCTGCACGCATTCCTGCGTAGAGTCTTTGTGGAAAATATAATGCCGGGCCTCAACGAGTTGCCTCCACCAGGACGTCGTCGGCGACAGAGATGTGTGCTGCAATCGAACCCCGAAAAGTATCCAAGCATATCTGTTGGATTAATAACACTGGACCACACTGCTCCCATGTTGCATGTACAATGCGGGGTGATATACGTACCGGAGAGCAGACATTTTCCGTTTGTGGACGGCTTTTTCTTCGTTGGTGCACCGCGGAGGACGATGGTTGCGGTGCAGGTGAGACGGCGAGGGCTGAGCATGGCACCAGAACCAGCACGGTGAGGCGGTTCAACAGTCTTCCACGGAGTTATTTTAATGACTGGGAAACGTTTGCGGAAGACTTGTCGTGGGAGATTATTTACGTGCAGCATGAGGACAGTGCGGCAATAAAAGCGTGGCAGGGGTGTGTTGTCGTCACGTACGCAAATGTAACGGGCAGCAATGAGCGTGAGGGCCCTCGGGCCATTGCGGCATTTTGGAATCAGCGGGTGCGTCAGTGCGAGGTAGCGGTATCAGCTGAAAATTTCAGAAGTGAACGACGAACCCAACGTGGGCGGTAACCAGAGGGACAAGGAAAAGGAGGAGGGGAATAAACAGCTTGAGTTTACTGGTGAAGTATTTTAGGGAGTATGATATATTCCCGAGTGTGTTTGTGTGTGGGTAGGAGGCGCACTTAGGGACTCGCTCTGCCGTGCGCCAAATGATTATTATGGCCAGCACTACCACAGCAGCACTTTTTTTTGTTGTGGTTGTGTTGTGGTTGCGAGTAAAATTGCGTGGGGAATGATGGCGCCTTGTGGGTGTACGCCGGCAGTATTCCATTGGTGATATCCCCTTGCTGTTCCCAGTTTGTTGCTACAGAGAGTTTGGGCGAGAGGGTAAGTTTTGCATGCTGAGTGGGC